AAGTATAAGCATTAAAGTACAGAGGTTAAATGGCTTGCCCAAAGTTACACAGCAGAAAAATGGGGGGAGGGGGTGAGCCTTAGAGTGTGCCTCACTTTAGAACAACGCTGGGTACAACCAGCAGACCATCAAAGCCAGCCCCATGAGGACAGTGCAAAGCAATGGCTTGGACCTGCTAACTTTATCTTTGCCTTGGTTCAACCCTAAGCAGAAAAATAGTGACAATGGAATGTGTGGAGCTCAGGGTATGAGAGGCCTGCATGCGCATGCTTGGAGACTGCAGGTTCCTCTCAGAGGGTCAGTAAGACCCATGTGGAGGGAGGCCTGCTGGATGACAAACCCCACAGACCTACTGTCTTCTACAGTTCTGAGGCTAAAGTGTTCTGGGTGTCACACAGACCTCTTCTTTTTCTCTTACCTGGTTACTTCTGCCCTTGAGTCCTGCTAGTCGCTGAGCCCACTGGAAAGGCCAGGGATATAGGCCACAGTCCACTGTTCAGTCTGGCCTTCTACCTTGACTGCTTTCCCTGCTATTTCAACCTAGATGGAGCAATGACAAACCTGTGCACAGGGGCCACAGTCCATGGATGGGAACAAGGGGCTGGCAACCATGCCGTGTGGACATTCAGGGCTGTGGAAGTCCCTAGTGCATCAGAGGATGCTTGGTGGCACTCCTGGAAGTGGTGTCATTGCTACCCAATACTAACAGTCAAGGATGCCTCCAGACAGGCCTTCCAATTCCCCATGGGTATACAGAATACATACACTAGAAGAATGGAGAGGGGCGAGAATACATGGGTGAGCCCTGGCAGAGGTACAGGTCAGAGGTACTCCTGAGCCTTGGACAGTCAGAGACACTCTATGGTTTGGCTATGGTCTGAATTTCTTGAGAAGCTTGCTCCCCAAAGTGGCAGTGTGAAGATGATGAGACCTTCAAGATGAGGGGCCTAGGGGAAAGACCTGATACAATTCTCACAGGAACTGGAAGGTTATAAAGTGAGTCTTCCTTCATTCTGCCCCTTCCTCACTTGACCAGGTCCCTGCTCGTGCTATGATGGACACCTCAGGCTTCACCATGACTCACAAGCCATCAAAATCATGTCAAATAAACTTTCTTTTTAAAGTATCCATGTCCCATAGGCCGTGTCACAGTTCTGTTTCTGTTGCTGTGGTAAACTCCATGACCAAAAGCAACTTGGAGAGGAACGGTTTTATTTCATGACAACTCCAAGGTCACAGTCCAAAACTGATGGAAGTCAGGGCAGGAGCTCGAGCCAGGAACCTGGAGGCAGGAACTGAAACAGAGCCCATGGAGGAACACTGCTCACTGGCTTGCTCCTCCTGGCTTGTTCAGCTTTATTTCTTATGCAGCCCAGGCCCACCTGCCTAGGGATGGCACTTCCCACAGTGGACTGGGCCCTCACACATCACCTAGAATTTAAGAAACTGCCTCATAGATAGAGCCACGGGCCAGTCTGATGGAGGGAATCCCTTAATTGAGATTCCTACTTCCCATATGACTCTCCTTTTTGTCACGTTAACCAAAAGTAACCAGCACAGTCTGTTCTAATACACAAAGACTAATATGCTCACCAAATATTCCCTTGTGCTCACTTGCCTATCCCTTAAAAAGGTTGTGTGACTAGTTCCAAGTATGACATCTGGCAAGAGACATTTGCTCTGGTGGAAACCAGTGAGAGTCAAAATCCTCTAGAAAAACGCCCAGCAAGAAGGTCCTCTGCAGGAAGTCCATGTGAAGATACCTACAAAGGATCCGCCAGGACAGCCATGCTGGGTTGCAAACTTGGAAGACTTTGCTGGTTTGGCATTTGGCAACCTTGATGGTGTGGTGGTGAAAGAAACCGAACACTGAGTGCATGCCGAATGACTCCATTTATACAAAATTACAAGCCAAGTAACACCATCTACCATATTAGAATGCAGGCTGGTGCTGACTGCCCGTTGGAAGCAAGGTTCAGGATCCCATGGGGCATTCTCTAGCTGGGTCTTCTGCTGATTCCACAGATGTGTTCAGTTTGTGACTCACTATGCTGTTCCCTTATCTTCAAATGTTTGATGTTTATAGTTCAATGAAAAGTTTAAAAATCCACTTGTTCCATCCTCGTTTAAAACGCAAACAAAAAACAACTGGCTAGACGTTTATCTGTGCACAGTGCTCTATACAGTTTTATGATGTGGAATTCATTCTGTTCTTAAATCTCCATTTCAGGGCTGAGGTACAGCTGGTACTGATCTATCCTGTTCCACTAAGACTGAAATGAGTGTGATCCATCACCACTTCTTTGTCCCCAAGGCTGTAGGCTAGAAGAGGATATTGATTTGTAAGAGTTACTCATACTGACCAAGGAATGTTTGCTGCCCCCGGCTTAGCAAAAGCCGCCCAGTCTGACTCAGCCTTGAGAACATTTGGTTCTTTGGTGTCTGCAGAGAACAATAAATACACTCCTTCTCTCAAACAAGTGCTTTTGGGTCTTAAGTGTGGTTGGTCCCCAGTAAAGTGGCCTTGGTCTCACCAGAGAACCTACTAAAATTCAGGCACTTGAGCCAGGTTTATGACCTGCTCCATCAGAAATTCTGAGAAGGGAGCCCAGCATTGTTTCTTAGCAAACCCTCCAGGTGATTCTGATGTCTATTAAATGGACTGAGCAACCGAGCAGAAGATTAATCAAGGTGGAGACCTTGGGCCTTGCTGAAGCCCATTCTGGGGGATCTGGGCATGTCTCAGGCAGCTGGGCTTCCCGCCAACCTCCCAATCCCAAGAAGGCAGACCCACTCTTCCTGTGGGTCACCTCTGTGACGTCAAGATGTGGGGAAGCTGTGGGCTTCCTGCAGACAGCAAGCCCGCCTAGAGAAAACCCTAGAGATGGATCCTCTGCAGACTCACCGCTTTCCATCTCCCTGGAAAGGGGTGCAGAGTGCCGATCCCAAGTGTGGGATCTATGTAAAATGAAGGCAGCCTCCCTCCTAGGTGCTCCCTCTGGGTGATAGAAGTGATCAGCTCCTTCCCCTCAGCTTTGCTTTTGCACCTCTGGGAGAGGGAGCTAGATCAGGAAGGAAGCCTGGTGTTTAGACCAGCAGGGGGCGCTCTGCACCGCAGTGCCGATGCCGGCGGGTCCGGGAGTTTTCTATTGAAAAAAGTGTAGATTCTTCTTCTGAGTCTTCAACTTCCGGCTTAAAATGCCACTATTGCATTATTGGAAATGCCCTGCTGGGCCAGTTGTTATAGTTCGTAGGGTTTACAGCTGGGTAAGACCACTGCTGTTCTCCCTCGGCAGTTTGCATAGGATCTTCCTATGCTGTGAGAGCTTCTAGGTCAGTTCCAATTCAGTTCCTCCGAGTCCTGTGTCGAAGTGTGTTGTATCTTCAGCAAGAAGGTCTTACCTTCACGTTCTTTTGCCCTGTACAGAAAAGAGCCAGGAGAAAAACAGCCAATAGGGCACGAACAGTGGCAGTCAAGTGCGTTCTATCTCTGCAGAAGGGTTGAGCCTGGTGAGTTCTGTCTTGTCATTTTCTAGTGCATCTCTTAGCATCAGAACATAAACGGTCTTCAACACTCCTGCCTCTCAGCTGCCCATCTATGCCAACAGAGCATGTTTTCTGTGATATTAAAAGTAGGCAATTTATTTCTCTTTTTCAGGGGGAGATTTTACAGAGTAAATTTCGATGTAGGACTCCCAACACCTCCTCCTACAGCAGATGAATCAGAGGCCCCAGGCTGTAGTGATTGGTATAAGGTCCAACCACTAATTGATATAGAGACCACACCCAAGGGCCAGATCTTACTACCTCCTGAGGAAATCCCCCTGAGGCCTGCTCCCCTTCTGCCTAGTTGCACTGTCTCTTACCAGCATTATCTCCTATCACACCATAGCCAGAAGCAACAATAATGTACCTCCCCCCTTCTCTAATGGCTCCTGCCTGTATCACTCATTAGTTCCAACCAGAAAGATCTGTTTAGAAAAGTAGTGTGGCAAGGGCCTGCTGTGGACAGCAGCCTCTCTCTTGACCTGGATCTCTAATGGACTATTAAGAGGTAGAAGTACGATGTTGCCCAGTTGTTCAGAGTCATCTACTGGTGGTTCAGAGTCCTCAATCTGATGATTTCAAGTCCCTTCCACTCTTTTTTTTTTTTTTAATATGCAAAAAGTAGCTTTTCAAGTGCTCCAAACCCTTGTCTTTAACAACGGAACTTCGGGTTCCGTTGCATTCCTGTCGTATGACTGAATGCTTATATGCCAACTTCTATATGGCTAAGGCTAGGCCTACTAGGAAACCTCGGCAGAGCAGATTGATAACATACCACGCTAAGCACATGGTTATCTTTTAAGTTATAATAAGTGCTGATAACAAAAGACTTTAAGTGCATGATGAGAGGCCAGTTTGAATAAATATTTCTTGGTAGTAGAAGAATATTATTATACTGGGAAAATAAAGGGCTATTTGCTTATGTATCTTCAGTATGAGGAGGCTGTCTTTAAAACAACTAGACCTACTTAGTGCCCTTGAAAACTACTAATAACCAGTGAAAATTTCTCTCATGCATATTTTGTACCATTTTCATAAAAACCTTTAAAACCTACCTTTGTGCGAATGCCTATCACATTTGCAATAGAACATTCTTAACACAACACATTCTTAACAGGATGCTAGAGTGACTGAGATAGCTGAGTTTTGTTGCAAACTGTTACCCAATGCTTCAGTGTTCAGACATTCAAACCACCTGCAGCCTGTAACACCATGAATTCCTAATGCCACTTGGCATCCCCTCTGCCCTCCTCACTGTCTCTCCAAACACTGATGAGCTTCAAACTCACTTTACTTGGTGAAATCAGAGAAGATGAGAAACTGAGCTGGGTTGGGCAGTTCCCAGTGGTCAGCAGGACCACCCTGTGAAAGTGTGGTAGTTTCTGCCTCCCAGAAAGTGTGGTAGTCACTGCCTCCCAGAAAGATGTAAAATCAAGTGGCTACCAGGCTCTGGATGATGTTAGAATATATTTATTGCTACATTTATGTACAATTATACAAACAGCCCAGACAGAAGGGGTATGTCACCTCAATTTCTGCAGAGTCCATGGAAACAGACACAAAAAGAGCTGCACACCACTGAGTTTGCGCTCAGATCAAAGCCAAAGATAAGTCACATTTTTTTTAAATGGAAAATTCTTGAAAATGCTCTCCACAGATTCCACCTTATGAGCTAGTCATGCAGAAAAAAAAAAAGTGAATTTCTAGAAGCTAATGCCTTCCAGCGTCTGTTTGGAAGAATGGTGTCTTGAAGACAGGTGCAGTGGTTGCCGACTCAGGACTGCAGGGTGCAATGCAGATATCCCAAGTCCTGGTCCATCTTCCTAAGGTCTATCCCTAGGAAAGGCAAGGAAGGGGGCTTCGGAAAGAGATAACAAGAAAGGGGAAAACAACAGTAAACAGAGATAAAGACAGAACCATTAGCAAGAGCCCTGGCTCTTGAAGGAGGCCTGGTTCTTCCATTTCCCAAGGAGATACAACTTTGGGGGAGTATGTGGTCAGGTCACAGGGCTGTCTTGGTATGTTCTTATTTGAAAGCTCACCACGTGTCAGCCATCAGGGATCTGCATGAAGACACAGAAAGTCAACAGGAAAGTCAGACAAGAAAGACGAAACCGCAACAGAAACATTAGCAGAATGGGCTGCAAATACAAGACCCTGAATGCTTCTTCCATACGCCTAATACATTAAGGTACTGTGGAGAGCATGGACTGCGCTGGGGAATGCCATGAGGCAGAGACTGTGCCAAGATTCAGTGTCAGTCCACAAGATGCTCTGATCTCACAACAGTCAGAATTGTTTGGAGCCTCAATAGAAATCCAGGACAGTAGATTTCAGAATTTTCTGACCCCAGAATTATGTTGTGGAGGTATGGCTGCGGTATAAGCGCTCTTCTCTTCACGTTAGTCACAGACTTTTCTGATGTGAAGGAGGGAGGAAAGAAGGGAGGGAGGAGAGCAGCCTGCACACATACAAACCCATGTAATGAGTTCACCTCACACAACCCTTGCTCTACCTGGCACACCTCAGGCCACTTCACATTTCAGGGACCCAGGAGAGAAACCTGAGGTCAGATCTAACCCGACTTCTTAAGCTAAAATCAGCCTAGAGCATCACAGAGAAGTCAAGACCTGAAGGCTGAGAGCAAGAAGTCTGTGATCTGCACACAGCCAGACTGCACCCCTCTGTGCCCATTAGTCATTTGGATATTATCTAGTCTTGAGACTGTAGGGGGTTTCAGCACTAAATTTCACCACCAGCCAGTTATATCCTGTCTGTGGCTTTGGATGTCACCTCTAATTTCTTGCTACTAGACTCCCATGGGCAGCCAAGATGACAGTGCTGGGGAGAAGCCCTGAGGATGGCAAGAAAATGACTCAAAGAGCACAAAGTCCTTGGCCAATGACATGAGCAACTGCGGAGGGCCCAGCAGTTCTTCCAAGGCTGAGACTACATGACATTTCAGACTGAAAGACATGGCGACTGCCAGCTCCCTTGTTCCCGTCATAAATTCATCTCTGGATAATTCAAACTTTGTCATTTGAGCTTGACTCTTCTGGTGAGTCACACAGACACTTTCTTTTTTTGGTTCTGACAATAGCTTGGAGTCAGCCTCCCTCAAAAGACTCACTCTAAAGAGCACAAGCTTAACACATGAACCCAGTGAGGGGGGAAAAATCAAGCAAATTTTAATTTGGAATTTTTACTAAGCAAACAAAACAAAAGAGGAGAAATGAATTTCTGCATTGGAAGATGGGGTTTAAAGATGACCAGCTAAGAAGAATATTGTTCGTAGCACTATGTGGAACATTTAGGCTGTTTCAAGCACGGATTTTTGTTCAAATACCAGGAATAAGAACAGCTGAATCTATGAATCACAATCAGCTATATCCCTTCCAAAATGAGTGAGAGTAGGTGCAGATGGGGGCGCATGGTCCCCTTCAGGTTCACTCTCAGTGACCATTTTGATGGTGGCAAGAGGTGTCAGAGAGTCTAGTGTGATCTCAACCTCATTTCAGAACAATCTAAAATTCAAGGCTAAAAAACCAAGTCATTTCTAAAATCCCCCTACCTTAAATTAACACATACCTTTCATCTGTCTCATCAAAAGAAGTCTACATAGTATATTGCTCTAATGGTACTTATTCCACATCTTAAAATGGCATCTCAAATACATCGATGTTTAATTAGAAGTAGGTATACAGAACTTTGGGAGGCATGTCCAGTAAGCTAGGACCTCAACCTGTATCTTCATAATCTCTAAGGCAAACTGTAGTGCTGTTGTTTTACTTAGAATTGGGGTCAAAACAGTCTCTGCCCGAGAACTAAGTAACTTCCAAACAATCTGTTATCATGATAAGCATGCTCATATGGTTGTAAAATATTGCCAAATTATGGAATATGCATGATCCTTTATTAATATGGCTTACGAACCAGTTCATAGTTTTAGTTTTTTGGTTCAACATGTATGTACAACATGTCACTGTTAGGTATAGCTGTTTGTTTTTAAAGAATTCCCATTCCTAGCAGAACTCAAGTGTAAAGTGTGGTCGGTCACTCTGAGGCTCCATCCTCATTCCTCATCAAGAGAGACTTTCTCAAATACAAGAATGCTCTACTTAAAGTAGCACTTCTAATACATTTATCAAGATTAACAGGTAGAACCTCATTTCCAGAAACTTTAGCTGATCTCAAAGTGATTCCATTGGAGGACAGCGTCCTTGCTTGCTGAAAGGCCTGGGAGATGCAGACTATTGAGAATGAGATGGGGGGCGAATGAGATACTGTAATGCTCTCTGGCTCAGCTGGACACTCACTAAAGGCTGTGGCCCATGGGAAACAGATGTTCTAAGAGGTCCCCAAGGCTCTAGATAGATCTTCTGAGAGGATGGGCTTAACCTAGCAGCAGCTACCAGTGATACTTACCTTGGGAGGGAGGGGACGTCATCCTGTTACATCTGCTTTATGCTGCTTTGGCAAGAGCGCATTTGGAACAGTGCATACAGTTTGGGTCCCCACCTTTCAAAAGAAACAAGAGATTAGAAGACATGAATGCAAAGGGGCACAGAGGAGGCTGAAGGGGGCAGACAGCATGTGCAACAGGTTAGAACACCAGGAAAATCTTGGTCACTTAGCCTGGATGCTGAACTGATTTCCTAATTTTTAACTTCTCTTTTTAAAATTCACCTTTGGAATGCCACTAGTAAAATGTAGATATAACTAACTCTCTTTAAAACAGATGCTAGAGAATTCTCTAAGAGTTGTTATCAATGCTTGACAGACTAAGCAGTTTCATAAGAATAATGGGTCTAAAAAACCTCACAAACACCAGAACCTCCTGAGTAACTGGCCTTGGATGCAGCCAAGGATGACCTTGAACTCCTGATCCTACTGTCTCCACCTCTGTAGTGCTGGCATTGTAAGTGTGGACTGCCACTCCAGTTTCATGAGATGCTGGGGGTGGAGCCCAGGCTTTCCTGCGTGCTCGACAAGCACCTTAACAACCGAGCTATATCCCCAGCCCACATTTTCAGTATTATTTCAAGTTCTCTCTTGTTTATTATAGGCACTGTTAGTGTCTTCTGGGTAACTTTTGGATCCAAAAGATTTTGTGGTGCCTACTATCTTTGAGAATGCAGTAATTCTCGATGTACTGCCATTGTCCATTAGTAGGCTGGGGTGGGTGAAAACAAGCAACAAAAATGCCCCCACAGCTACATGGGCATTGTAGTAGCTATAGAAATCCGTTTCAGCCCCACTCCTTCTGTGCTGTCTTCATTATCAGACTCAACTGCCATTCTCTGGTCTATACCCAAAGCAAAGCGTAGATCAACTCAACAAAGAAATTGCTATACTGGCCAAGCTTACTCATGGGTCAGCTCCAAACCTGGGAGACTCCATGCTCTTGGTGATTTCTGCTCTGGTGAGTTAAGAAATTAGAATCAGGATTCAGTTACTGGCAGTCTCTGTCTCCTAAGTGGGTTGTATACCAAAAGGGCATCTGCGGCAGACTGCTTCCCTGAAAAGTGTTGTGGATGGTGGCTCTGTATCCAGGTCGTTGAACTCACAATAAAAACCGGGTCTTTGCAGTAAAGTACGGTTGAAATCCTAAATTTGTCAAGGCTGGTGACAAAAGCATAGAAATAATGGGACTTATGAACAGTTTAATAATTTTCCTTTAGTACTTGAGCGTCTTAAAGTGGGCATTAATAGAAAATGATTAAGTAATGCTTTGGAACTTCAGGATATTTTAAAGAGGACTTTAAGCACCTTGAGAGATGTTAAAGATTAGCTGGGCTGGCACTTTGTGGCATCAAGTAGCATTTCAAAATGTATAGTTTCTTTTGTGGCTACAACTGATCTCTTCATTATTAACCACAATTTAAGGAGATTCAGACTTGTAAAGAGACAAAGAGGGAGAAAGAGCAAAGGAAGGAATGATTTTCATGAATATTGAGGGAAATTTAGAATAAGATGAAAGAGAGGGGTCAGCTTGAACAGCAGAGCAAAGAAAAGGGGGCAGGGAGAAGGCAGAAATTCCCAACGTTTGCCACCAGGTGGAGCTGTTAGATTAAACTACTTTGAAGACTTCGCTGAGTACATACTGACCAGATGGGCAGGACAGTCACAGTACAGTTGAATCAGGATTTGTGGAACACCAGGCCATGGGCTAGGACATATGTATATCAAGTTATTTCAAGAACATAAGTTTCTTTCGGCATTAGAATATCTACTTATCTAGTTCAGTATGCTAATAAAAACTTTTTTGAACACACACAATTATCTCATGTACACATGAATTGCATCAAAATCTGAAACTGTCTTTTTATTCTGAAAACAAACCTCTTAGCAAAATATGGACATGCTTATTAAAGAAGTTTCATTAATCTGATAAAGGTCATGTCCTCAAACCTAACTAGTGCATACTGAGTGGCATATGTGGCATGTTTCAACGTTGTTAAATCAGAAATGAGACACCAGCAATGTTCAGCATGCAATCCAAAGGTCTATCCAACAAAAACAAATAAACAAAAATGCTAAGTAATGGGAAGACTGACTGCAAACTCACTGTTGCAGAAGACAACTATGTAGAGGGTCTTGACAATTTCTCAAAGTATTAGAAACAATGGGAATTCAGGACAGTTCTCCAGGCCAGACAAAATTCAGTCCTACTTGCCTATTTCAGCCTCAAATATTTCCAATCGTAACTCTTAACATGATTGTAAACTAAGAATCTTAATAATAAATCTAACAAAGGAAGTAAATGCTCTCACTGTAAAAATTTAAATAGATTGATATGAAACTACTGTTATTGGGAGTGTTTGATAGTGTACAGATGTAATTTCTTTTCAAACTAATCTATTCAAAAGTTTTCCACCAAAACTTATTTTCCCATAAACTGAAATTAATTCTGAGATTTATATAGAAGAAGAGAGGGCAAAATAGGGATGTCCTAACAAAATAAAATGGAGAAATTTCAGAAATAAGTTAAACATGTATTAAGACCCGTTATAAAGCTAAGGCTAATTAAGATATGGAATTGATTCACTGTAGACATGCTGACCAAAGGAACGAGATAATGAGATATGAAGGAAGTGGCAATCGATTCAGGAAGGGACAGAACGAACCATTAACATATTAAGACGCCTTGGCTTCCTACATCAGCAGCCCAGCCCACACAGTCTCCTGCAGCAGAGGACCAAGCTTCCTATTAGGTCCACTTACACCACTCTGGAACTTCCTGTACCAACCTCACAGAGGAGAACAGGTATCTTAAACCCTACAAATTAGCTCTCTCATGAACACTGTAAACATGCCTACTGAAAGAAAAAGGCAAAGTGAGAAGGAAGGAAGGAAGGAAGGAAGGAAGGAAGGAAGGAAGGAAGGAAGGAAGGAAGGGAGGGAGGGAGGAAGGAAGGAAGGAAGGATGGAAGGAAAGAAGGAGGAAGGGAAGGGGAAGGGAGGGAGGGAGGGAGGAAGGAGGGAGGGAGGGAAGAAGGAAGGACTCAAACAAAAAAACTACCTCAGATGCACAAGTCCCAGGTCCCAGTGCAAAAAAGGAAACAGTATAAAGAAAAAGACTCAAGAAAACATCTCCCCAAAATTTACTAATTCCATAATAATATCACCAAAAAATGATCTGGAAGAACTTCCAGACAAAGAACACAAAACAATGATTGAAATATGATCAAACAATTCAAATTAGACATGAAAATACTCCAAAAGAACAAAACCAGAGATGAGTGAAATAAGGACAGCAACATAAAATATGAAAATGGATTTCAACAAAGAAAATCAATGAGGAAAATCCAAACTGAAATGACACTAGAATTCAAAAAAACTCAACAAATCAAACAAAAACCTCAGTGGAGAGCCTCACAGTGAATCAGGGGTAGAAGACAAGATAGAGGAATTGACTCAGTGAAGGTCAAGGATTCAATTTTAAAATTATATATGAACAAAATGTGGAGAGCACTGAGACATCATGAAAAGACCTAACCTTCGAATTGAGGACATAGAAGAAAGAGAAGTACCATACCAAAGGCCCGGAGAATATTTTCAATAAAATCACAGGAGAAAATTTCCCAAACCTAGAGAAAAAGATGCTCATCCAGGTACAAGAGGCCTACAGAACACCAAATAGACGAGACTGGAAGTTTCCCATGAAACTAAAGTTAAAATATTAACTTTCTAAAGTTAAAATATTAAAATATTTAAAACATAGAATAAAAAGGGTATTAAGTTGCAAGAAAGGTCAAGTCACTTAAAAAGGCACATCTATCTGAATAACACCACATCTATCTGAATAACACCACATCTATCAGAATAACACCTGATTATTCGACAGAAACGTGTGAAGTCTGAAGGACAGAGGAAGATAGATACACTGCGAGTTCTGAAAGACCACAATTTTCAACTCAGACTTGATATCCAGTCAAACTATCTACTAAAATTGAAGGAAAACCAAAACTTTTCCAGGATAAAAACAGATTACAGGAATTTATAACCACTAAGCCAGCTCTACAGAGGAAACTGGAAGGAACACATTTACGAAGAGAAGGACAAACATACCTAAATGTGCCAGGGGATAATAATTCCAGAAGAGTGCATCAAAAGAGGTCTAAGAAAACAGCACAGAAGAGCAAAATGACAGGAATTAATACACAGCTTTCGATAATAACCCTAAATATTCATGTTCTCAATTCCCCAATAAAGAGACACAGACTAGCAGACTGGATTAGAAAACAGGATCCATCTTTTGCTGCCTTTAAGAAACACATCAATAGACACCACCTGAGGGTAAAAAGATGGAAAAAGATACTGTAAGTAAATGGGACTAAGAAACAAGCAAGCCGAGGTATTCTAACATCTGACAAAATTGACTTCAAACCAAACCAGTCAGTAAAGATAAAGAGGGCCACTTCATACTCGTTAAAGGAACAATCCACCAAGAGAGTAGTATAATTCTAAACATACAGACAAAACAAACCCACAGGTGTCTCCAATTTCATAAAAGAAACTATTAGCTCTAAACCCACAGGTTATCTAGAACACAGTGAGAGTGAGTGACTTCAATACCCAGGTAATCTGGACAAAAATTAAACAGAAAAACACTAGAGTTAACTGATACCATAAATCAAATGGACCCTACAGGCATCTGCAGAACATTCTACCCAAACACTAGAATATACATTATTCCCAGCAGCCTAGGAAACTTTCTACAAAATTGATCACATATTAGGACACAAGCAAATGTCAATAAATATAGGAAATTGAATTAAATAATATCCTGTGTTTGATCTCACCACAATGGAATAAAGCTAGACATACACAGTGATAGAGGGGCTGGAGAGATGGCTCAGTGGTTAAGAGTACTGGTTGTTCTTGCAGAAGACCTGGGTTTGAATCCCAGAACCCACATGGCAGCTAACAACTGTCCATAACTCCAGTCCCAAGGGATCTGATGGCCTCTTCTGACCTCCACGGGCATTGCACAACAGGGGTTCACTTACCTTACA